ATAATTCCTCTGTTCCTTTTGCTTTTCAATTATTGGCCCCCCCATCATTCTCATTTCTCAATTATCTCATTTCCAAACCTCATGCTCACCCCTGTCAAGATTATAAGTTAATTTTTTTTAACTAAAATTTATTTCAAAATTAAAAAAAGTGATATCATTAAAAATTACATATTCTTTTTTTGGCTAAATTCATATAATGATCCTCAACTACAGTTTTTTTTTTTAATATAACACACCCAAACCTTTGAAAATTGATCAAAAACTTCCCTAACCTTTTATTTTTGTGCTTAAAACATCCTACTATTAACAGAACGGTTAAATCACTAATCCTCTTTGCCGTGTCAGACTTAATTTGCCACATCGGCGTATGGCTATTAAATATCTTGTAAAAGAATTTTTTTCCCCAATGTTTTCTTTGCCCCATATGCCTTTTTTTTTTTCACAATATTTTAGCCCAAACAACAACATAAAAGATTTATACAAGAGCAACGGTTATAATGCACCTATTAATTGCTCGAAGCACATATCATCAGATGGCGTTCAATTTGGGTGCTCATCAAGATGATGAAATCTTCTAGATTTACAATTTTTTATTTTTATTTTTATTTTTATTAAAATAAAAAAATAAAAATCATGAGAAATTACATAAATCTGTTCACATAAATGTTGATAGTATAGATTTAATTTTGATAGTCTAATTTAATATTAAATTAATAATTTTTATAAATTGACTATGTAGATTTACTCTAAATGTTCCAGATTTAAAATTTTTAACTTATAATTTTATTGAAAAATATTTCTTAAAAAGTTCTCATTAGGAGATTATCTTCATTTTTAATATTATATTTATTAAAATAAAAATTTATAAAAATTAATATTAAATTTGGACTATCCAAAATACAATTAAACCACCATATTAAATATGTACTATCCAAATTAATGATGAATATATTTATTAAAAATTTATAATTTTTTACTTTAATAAATAAAAAAAATATAATTATAAAATTTAAGTTAAAATTTAAAAAAAAAACTTAGGCCATGGCCCAGATTTTTTCTTGAATCAGGAAATGGTGCTAGCAACTGATGAGCAGTTACCGAAGGCGGACCCTATGGGATGTGGATTTACAGATAAAATAAGTTCAGCATTAACAAGGATGCATATATGTGTGGGTGTGTGTGTGTTTCTGGTTGGTTCCAGGAGAAGACAGGAAATGCAAGAGGAGAAATTGCAAAGTTAATTTATACCCTTTATTTATCTTACATAAATATGACAAAAGCTAACTAAATTAAATATGATGTGGCAAATTATGTTATTAATTTGACAGTTTTGTTAAGAAAAGAGGCCATCTACATAAAAAATAAAATGTTAAGGAGATTTTAAATCAAATATTAAATATTAGGAATGTTACTTGCATTTAATTCTAAGTTGAGGAAAGTTCTATGTATTTTAGCTTTCTTTTTTATCACCTAGTATCCTGAAAACCTGAGATTATTACTATATTCTGCCCAAATTAATTTGAACTCCCATTATATGAGACCATTATTATCAATAATAACCTCATGCATACTTAAAAGATGCTTTTGATATATTTATTTAACACAATTATATTGCACATTCATAATTTGATCTTGAGATCCTAGATAAATGATTCAACTCCCTTGACTAATTGAACTAGGCACCTATTGGTAAAAATTACATATTCTTTTCTATACCTATTCTTATTTAATATGACAACTTAATTAATCATAAATAAATATAAAATATTTAATTAATTACTCTTAAAAAAATAACAAAATGCAATATTTTTAAATATGAAGAGTTACATTTAATTTTAAACAGAAGGAGTAATTACCAACATACTATACTTCATAAAGAGTTAAAATGTATTTTTGCCCTGTAATTTCTTTTAAAGAGCGCTGGACATTCTATACTAATAAGTGAAGTATTTTTCTCCCTAAATCATTTTTTCGATGATCAAAAATTTCCTTCCGTTAACTAAAATCAAATTCCATGGGGTTAGGGTGAACTTCCCCTCCTTTTGTATTTAAATATAAGGTGTTAGGCATTTAGGAGGGAGTTATAGATTGAACAATTAATTTTATTCATTTTCAATTTAATGTATATTAAATTATTTATATAATTTTTATTCAATAAACCAAACGTGATTTTTTTAATTTTTATTATTCAATACATCAAATTTATTTTATTCAAAATTTTTATTACATATTTTACAAATATTTCAAGTGTATTACATTTGTCTAAAAAAATTACATATAATAAAAATCAATGTCCTTTGTAGTTATTATATATTTAAAATAATTTTTTATTATTTTTTGGTAATAAAAGCATTTTTTATTATATATCAACTAATTCAATTAAGAAATTAATTTTTGAAAAAAAATATCAAAATATAAATTTAGTTACAATAATAAACTTTTACAAAATTGATTTTTGTCAAATAAAATTTTGGCAGCCTTACTTTTAGCTAACAAAAAATATAAAAAAATTTTTAAAATTAAGATATATTATTAATATTAATTTCTATTTTTATAAATCATATAACAATTTTTTAATAATAATCATATAACAATTCTGCCAAAAAATAAATCAATTAAACTTAAACAAAATATTGAAATATTTAAGCTTATATACACAATATTTTTAATAAAATAGTTTTTTTCAACACATCAATTATCCTATAACTCTTGTTATTAGTACTTTTGATTTATTTTAAAATTTAAAATCTATTTATTGTGATTTGATTGAAAAAGTGCTTGAAGTATAAAAGCTGAAATACCAGATTTCTTATAATAAGTCGTGTACAATTATATACCACTGATTATTGATGATTTTGTGGGGAAGGGATACTTTATAAAAATTGAATTAATATTTATAAGATAAACTATAAAAATGAAACTTAGGTAACAAAAACTATACTGACACAAGTGTTAATTTTTTTAGGCAAATGGTTATTTTCAAATAATTTAGTTTTTTTAAAAAGAAAAGACTAAAATGTAGATATAAATATTATGTATCATTCTTTTTTTATTATTATTATTGATCAAAATTTAATGTTAATCTATAAAAAATATTTTCATGAACAAATTAATTTTATATTTTATAATATACCGAAACTATATATTTCTAATGTATAATTAGTATATTATATGTATGAAATATGTTTCGTATGATATTTTTGTGTAACTTTCATTAAAAAAAAAAATTCTGTGCAACACCTGTTCTTTGAAACTAAAAACGAAGCTAAGTCCAGGACAAAATCAAAATACGTATATGCTCGTTGGCATATAGCAAATGATCCATGATAAGTGGAGAGAACAAATCATTCATAAACTCTCTCATACAAAATACGGCCTCCCAGAGGCAAAGTCAAAAATTTTTATTAAGGAGGGTTAATATAACAAAGTATATATAATAATTAAAAAATTTATATATATATATATATATATATTATTGACATAATATAAATATTTTAATACATATATATTTATATTTAATTTTATACATATATAACAATATATATACATATATATATATATATATATATTAAGTTTTGCTCATCGATTTTTTATAATATAAAAATCATTAGTTATTATGTCTACAATAAGTATTTTAATAATTTCCTTCTCAATATAAATTATCATTAAATTGGTGAAAATTTTATCACCCTTATGAGTATTAAATAATTTTTAAACATAATTAAAATTTAAAGTTCCATTCAAGATAATAAACTATATTACTTACTTATTGAATTTACTATTTATTTTTTTAATTGATAATTATAGTAAACAATATATCAACATATTAATGATGCTCAATTATCATAAAATCCTTATATTCAGAGTAAAAATCATTCATATTATAAATTTCAATAGATTGATTATTTAAAAAAAATATTTTTTAAAAAAAAAACATCTTCACCAAACCTTTTAACTTTTAGATAAATGATTTTGTGATAGAGATCAAGCATATGGCATTCAATATATCTTGAAATTTTTGTTGTAATGCTTCATAAAGCTTATTAATAATAATTCTCACAATTTCTTTCATTAAATATAAAATGAAAACAAAATAAAATGACATAAATACTTTAAAAGCATGTACATTATTATCTTATTGAAAATGAGTAGATTCAATGACAACCATATCTTCAAACTATTGAAATGATTGCTCTATACATATATAAAAAACTACATATAGAATTTAAATGGAAATTTCATCTAGTATTTCACAACTTCTATAATATGCCAACTTAGAGGAATCGAAAATATATAACTCCTATATTTTATTAAAAAATTAAAAAGTTAGGGAGGCCATGGCCCTTGTCAAGATCCCCCCCTCTCCACTCTTGCTTCTTCCGATCCTATTTATAGAACACTTTCTAAGAATAAGTTTTAGTCCAAAATATAAAACACATTACAATAATCAAATCACTTTTTTTTTAACTTTTATCCTTTTTTGATTAGTGTAAAGATATTTAATATAATTATATTATCATTTAAAATGAAGAGTAAAAATAAAAGCACATCTCACTTTTTTATAATATAAAACTACATGAAAAGGTTAAATGTATCCTGTAATAAAAATCAAAAGAGTATTTATCAACACATTCTCACCTAACAAGTATTCATTACCAAATCAAAGCCATTCAAACCAAGGCAATGAAAACCAAACTGATCATTAAATTGATCGAGATAATAGTTTAAGAGTTAATGATCCAACTACAAGTCAATCCAAAATTAGAGCGATCACAGGTAAAATAATATAATTTAATCAAATATATAAAAATATTCATATGAAAGGTCATAATATTTAAATAAGTTTTTAATTCATGCGTAAATAAAAAATTTATCCATAAAATTTTTTTACATGTCTTGTAGAAATAGCAATTATAAGTTTTTTGATAATAATAAAACACAAATAGCATTAAAATTATTAATTAAAAAATTTATATTTAATTTAGAATTCAATATTTAGATAAAGAAAAGAAAACCAAAAAATAAAAATAATAAAAATCTAATCCGGGTCAACCCATTAACCCAGGTTGGCTTGATTTGTCCAAGTTAGAGCTGGCCTGACTAAGTTGAAGCCAAGTCATAGATGACCGGTTTCCTTCATCAAACGAAACAGTTAGGTGACCTGTTTACCAGTTTACGAGTTAACCCGACCAAGTTGATCCAAGTTTACAAACTATGATTCAAACTATTTGTTCAAATTAAAGTTGCTTCTGATTCAAAATCTAAATGTCACCACCTCAAATGGGAATTTAATGAAGTTTTCATGTCTGAATATTTACGACTCACAGTCTGCAACTACTGAGGCAACACACAGACTTAATGGTCTTCAATTTCTAAATCATCAACCCAGGGAAAACGATGTGGACAGTTCCAAACTCCCTCAACCTGCATAATTTCAAACAATAATAATATATTCTAATTAGAAATTTTATTGAGTCGTTATTTCTTCTGTAATCAATTGCTAATATCACTTACTATTTACTTTAATGCGGTAGGACTGAGGAGCTGAACCAAAATAAGCTTGTCTTGTAAAAGATGATCCTGAAACAATAAACCCATAAGAGTTGAGATCATGAAACTAAGCAAAGGAAACAAAGCAACTCACTAGTCTTTTCCATTTGCATCCCAAATATATTCTAATATGTGTGGATATGCTCAACTACGCTGCATTATGGCCCCGCATTCAACTAATAAATAAAGTTAGGTTTGGCTCAGATGATAGAAACAAAGGGACATTTAATAGGTTACTTTAAGATTAAAAGCTATAGAAAGAGAGCCAGAGAGAGTATAAACAACTATCAGCCTAAATATGGCTATCAATAATAATTTATTACTTGAAGTAGGTATTAGTTATATATACCTGCCAATAACAGTGCAAAATTTATCAATTATAACAACTCAGGCTGCCTTCTTAATGGCCTTCTCCATCATGGCTCTAACATTATTATTCCCATAATAAATAACCGTCACATTAGCCGGTGCATATATGTCAACAGGAGAGAAGATTTTCATTTGGGAGCAATTGAGTATTGAAACTTGCTCCAAGGATGGGAATTTCATACTGGACCTCCCTGTGTAAAAGCTATCAAGTCTTGGCAGAGAGTGGAGATATAATTTTTTGAGATTCTCAAATTTTATCTCATCTTGGTCCAACCCATCTCCTTTGGCCACTATTTCTTGTATTGATCCACATTCAATTACAGACAACTCTTCAAGTAAAGCTAAACTTTTTGCTGTTGAGGATGTGAACAAATATACCAATCCATCACAATTACCAACATCCAGATCCTTTAGATTTGTAAAAGACACAGTTGATGGTGCCAAATAAATCAAACAAGGACAATTATCCACTTTTAAGATCTTTAGGTCTTCAGGTAGATGGGTGTGCTCTAACCCAATGGAATTGAGCTTTGACAAAAATCTCAATTCTAAGGTTTTTAGCTGTGAAAATAACGCATCAATATAGCCATCTAGATCAGATCTTCGAGAGGTGAATATTTTCTTGAAGTTACTATGAGACAATTGAAGCTCTTCTAAATGGGGCAGTGATTCCTTCTGGAAGAATTCATATGGAAATTCACCTAAATCATCATTAAAGAATTTCAATTTGATAAATTTCACTCTCTGAAGAAGCTTTGCTTGCAAAATCTGCATAATGTTTTCCTTGCTGAGTGACAGATGCCCTAGATTGGGAAAAACCTAGAATCAAGATAGTCATATATTATTAGAAAATGACAATTTAAAATATTTAACCACCTCAAAATAGCTAGGGTTCTGCAATATATTGATAATCTAATAAGTGTGCATTTATAAAATGTTTAAACATTTCAAATAGAGCACAATTTTCACTCAAATTTACCTACACAAATAAGAGAGAAATTTTTTAAGGTGATTGATGTATTTCACATTTGTTGAAGAGAATTTAAAAACTATCATAACAGCAAAATTACCTTTTCTAATGTGATAGTGGTTTCTGTATCTTTTGCAAGGTGATCTTGATCCAATGTTGGGAAATTCTTCAGCTGACCGCAACAATAGACAACTAATTTTTCTAACTTGGGCCACTCCAAATTTAGTGTTGGATGAATGCACTTGAGCTCTGGCAATGTATGGAGCTTCAGCATGGTTAAGCCAGCAAAGATAATTGAGATTGAAGTTGCTCCTCCTGAGACTGATTCATACCCGGCAACAATTTCTACTAACTGTTCACAATTTTTCACTTTTAGATCTTCGAGGCTTTCAAGCTTGCCTTGGGCCATTGATGCTGGAAACAAGCTCTTAAGGCTATTACACCCATCAATATACACTTTCTGCAGACATTGGAAGCTGAGAATTTCCTTAGGATCCTCATCCCAAACATGCTCCAGATTGGGTAATTGTTCCAACGTCAATTCTTCCAATGCAAAGGAGGAAGGCGCGGGGATGGGGCTCACATCAAATATGGCCTTGACAGCATTGCAATTTCGTACAGTTAAGCATTCCATGTTACAGAGGAAGGAAACCAAATGAGAGGGAATCACATGTGTCAACGATTGGCAACCATCCACTGTCAAAGTCCTCAAGTTAGGGAAGCCTCCTTCAGGGACTGGAATAACACCCCCCCATATCTCTTGTAGCTCCGGGTGATCACCAAGCTTCAAATATGATACATCACTTGCAAAGGTTGCAAGCTGTACAAGCAAAACAATTGCAGTCTTAGTCTACTGTATCTATACATAGCAATATCACTCACCTTGAAATTCTTTTGTCAAGCCTTTTTCTTGCTTAATCTATTGTTATATAATTCGTTATTATAAAATATTCTACTTTAAAAGAGATATATGTAATTAAGTAATTTCTCTTAAAAGATAGTTATCCTACATGTAGGTATACAGATCACCTACTAACAAAAGATTTGATAAATTAACTACACCAACAATATAAGTTCTGAAATAATAAATATCACATACCTGGTGTTTAACTCCAATATATGATTTTCGCCCCAAAAAAAAAAATCCCAAAACATGATAAAGAAGCGAGATAGTGCTTACCTGTGAGCAAAAAATCAATTCTATGGAGACATTTAAATCCATGCCAGAATATTCCAGATGTTCAGGAGGCTTGGTTGAAACTCTTAGATGCTCAGTTGCTTTTATGGCTCCGTGAGAGAAAATTTTCATTCTGCAACATTGGTGAACAATCACAAGTTCCAAGGACGGGAGGTTCAGAGTAGAATTCCCTGCTTGAAAACTACCAAGACTTTGCAGAAATGCAAGAGACAATGTTTTGAGCTTCCCAAATGTTATCTCTTCTTTATCTGTTTCATCTCCTTCTCGAGCCACTATGTGTTTTATTAATCTACATCTTTCCACAGTCAACTCTTCGAGTAAAGCTAAACTTTTTGCAGTTGAAGAAGTGAACAAATATACCAATCGATGGCAACCAATTACACACAGACCGCTTAGATTTGAGAAAGACACAGTGGATGGTGTCAAGTTAATCAAACAAGGACAATTTTGCACTTCCAATGTTTCCAGGTTTCCATGTAGAGAAGTATGCTCTAGCCCAATGGAATTGAGCTTCCATAGAGAAGTCAATTGTAATGTTTTTATTTCTGAAAAGAACGTTTCAGCATAGCTTCTCACATATGATCTTTGAGAGGTGAAGATCTCTTTGAAGTTGCTATTAGACACTTGAAGCTTTTCCACTAGAGGAAGTGATTCCTTTGGAAAGAACCCATATGGAAACCCATTTGGATCATCATCAAAGCACTGCAATTCAAGAAGTTCCACTCTCTGATGAAGCTTTTCTGGAAATGGTGCTTGCCAAGTCTGCTTGATGTTTTCTTTGGTGAGTGACAGATGCTCTAGGTTGGGGAAAACTTAAAATCAAGTAAACTATTATTAGAAAATGACACTAACAAGGGGGATTGATTTTTAAAAAAAAATAATTGCACAGCCTCAAAATATGCATCTCAGAAATATATTTTTTATCTAACGTGTTTACTTAAATGATTATTATTCTAAATAAAGCAAGATTCACATATACAAACAAGAGTAAAATTGCTTGTATCAAGGGGATTAATGTATAACACATGTAATAAATAGAATTTTAAAAAAAGTTGCAATATATACAGTACCTTTCTTAACATGGTAGCAGCTTCCACATTAATTGTAAAATGATCTTGACCCACTATTGGGAAATTGTTCAGCTTGCCACAATGATAGATAAATAACTTTTCTAACTTGGGCCATTCCAAATTGTTTAGTGTTGGATGGATGCATTTCAGCTCTGGCAATGTATGGAGCTTCAATATAGTTAAGCTAGGAAACATAATTAAGTTTGAAGTTGCTCCTCCTGTTTCGTACTCAGCAATAATTTCTATTAATCGTTCACAATTTTTCACTCTCAGTTCTTGGAGGCTTTCAAGCTTGCCTTGGGCCATTGAAGCTGGAAATAAGCTGTTGAGGCTGCTGCATCCGGCAACATCCACTTGTAGCAGACATTGGAAGCTGATAATTTCTGTAGCGTCCCCGTTCCAAACATTCTCCATGTTTGGTAATTGTTTCAACGTCAATGTTTCCAAGGAGAAGGAGAAAGGGGTGGATGCGGGTCCCACATCAAATATTGCAGTTAGGGAATTACAATTTTGTACTTCTAAGCTTTCCAAGCTGCAAAGGGAGGGAACCAAATGAGATGGAATCGCATGCGTCAAAGAATGGCAGTTCCATAATGTCAAAGTCTTCAAATTAGTAAGGCCTCTGTATGGGACTGGAATAATGCCATGCCATATGTCTTCTAGCTCAGGGTTATCACCGAGTTCCAAGTGCTGTGCATGACGTGCAAAGTTTTCAAGCTGCACGACCAAAACAATTGATGCACCTTTGGACTATTAGTATGCATGGCTTATCAGTTTCATGGTGTACGAATAGCATATTACAATTATCCCCTATAAATACAATAAAAACCTAAAGAACTTGAACGCATTTTAACCTGAACATAATTAAGGGGCTGTTTGGTTGTTTAAAATGATGCAAATGGAATAGGTTAAAGAAATAAAGTCAAAAACAAAATAATCAAAATGTGAAAGGGAGATGGGTCAAATATGTTCATGAGAGAGAAGGGTAATAAGTTCATGAAGTTGGAACTCATGATTTATGAGATTTGTGGAGGGTGTGACAAGTTCTACATTTGTGGGATATGATATTAGGTTTTATCATGCTGACCATAAAAGAAGAGAGTAATTTAGTTCATTTTTATTTTTATTTCTTTAATTCATTCCATTCACATCCATTTTAGTAACCAAACAACTCTTAAGTTTATCAAATAATCATTTAAATTTATAATTAAAATCAATATTATAAAGATATTTAGGTTCAACTTGATTAGGAATCAATTTTGAGTTTCCGTGGGGTTTTGCATATTTCAAGGTAAATACATATGTTTTAAGAATATTAGTAAAATTATTGCGCACGTGCTTATTTATCAGTATGATTGCATTTGAAAAGTATTTTAAATGGAATCCAGAAAGTGAAAGATAGCTACGATAAAATAATGATTTTAGGCAACAGGGGACAGTCACTTTGGAAAATATAGACAAACAGGTACCTTCGCTAGAGACGTTTGACGTTCAACTCAAAAGCAACTTTCCTTAAAAAGAATATGGATTTTTATTTAAATTAAAATGTCTTTTACGGAAAGAAAGAACAAGCTTTTAAAAGTTGGACCGATCATCAATCGGGCGAGGCCAGATTCACAGGTCAATAACTAGATCATGATTGAGGAAGACACACACGCAATCAAAATATATGGACTAAAATTAAATACAGAGACATACCGTTATATTTTACTAATATTATTTTATAAAATTAAATAAAATTAAATTTATAGGATAAGTTTAAATTTTTTTTATTTTTATCATTAAATATCATTTTCCTAGTATATATAAATTGGAAGGCAAGAAAGTGAGTTCGATTTAGCAAAAATACCACTAAATATCATATGCTTAGAGCACAGCTGCCAAACAGGATTGATTAAGAAATGAGAGAACATTTACCTGTGAGGAAAAAATCAACTTTATGGAGACATTTAGATCCATGCCGCAACATTCTAGAGGAAGATTTCTATATTCAGCAAGCTTGGCTGAAACTCGCACATGGCGAGATGCATTTATGGTCCCACCAGAGAAAATTCTCATTCTAGGACATTGATGAACAGTCACAAGTTCTAAAGATGGGAAGTTGAAGGTGCAATTCCCAGCATGAAAGCTACCAAGTCTTTGCAAAGTATTGAGAAAAAATCTTTTGAGCTTGCTGAATGTGATCTCATCTTCATTTGATTCATCTTCTTTAGCAACTATTTCCTGTATAGATCCGCATCTATCAATGGACAATTCTTCAAGTAAAACTAAACTCCTCGCAGTTGAAGGTGTGATCAAATATACCAATCCTTGACAATTAGATACATGCAGCTCCCTTAATTTTGAGAAAGATGCAGTGGATGTTACCAAATTCATCAAACAAGGACAATTACGCATTCTCAAGGTTTCTAGGTTTTCAAGAACAGGGGCAACCCAAGATTGCTCCAACCCTATGGATTTGAGCTTTGGCAAAGAATCCAATTGTATTTCCTTCAGTTGTGAAAAGAACGTTTGAGTGTGTTGATCCACATTAGGTCTATGCGAGGTGAAAATTGCTTTGAAGTTGCTACATCCCACCCGAAGCTTTTCCATGTTGGGAATGGATTTGCTTTTGAAGAATTCACATGGAAATCCACCTGAGTCATCATGAAAGCACAACAATACAAGAAATTTGACTCTTCGAAGGAAGTTTGCCTGAAATTGTCTTTGCTCCATCTTTGCAATGTTTTCCTTGTTGAGTGACAACTGCTCTAACTTAGGAAAAACCTAGGATAAATCAAATATTAGAATAAGAAAAATTAATGAGAAGATTGATTGATTTCACATATTTTCTCATAAAAATTCTCCAAAATATCTCAACCATATTTTAACAAGAATAATATTTAAATATTTAAGTGTTTCAATCAGAGGACATCTTTTTTTCAAGTTGATCAAATTACTAAAATAAAATGGCAAAGTATTCAGCATATTATTCAAGCCACGGTAATGGATTAACACTATATAATTTAAAAAAAAAATGTTACCTTTTCAAATGAGACAATGTCTTCCATATCAATTAGAAAATGATCTTGACAATGGTCTTGACCCTCTGTTGAGAAAAGCTTCAATTGACCACAATGATATACTTCTAATACTTCTAGCTTCGGCCATTCTAAATTGTGTAGTCCTGGATAGATACACTTAAGCTGTGGCAGCTCCAATAATTCCAAAATCATTAAGCTAGGAAACATAACTGAGTTTGTTGCTCCTCCTGAGATTGTTTCATCCTTTGCAACAATTTCTACTAATCCATGACAATTTCGTACACGTAGCTTTTCAAGGCTTTCAAGTTTGCCTTGGACCAATGATATTGGAAACAGGCTCTTTATACTCCTGCATCCATCAACAGAAACTTGTTGCAGAAATTTGAAACTCGGAATTTCTTGAGAGTCCTCATTCCAAATATGCTTCAAATCAGGTAGTTCTTTCAAGGTCAATGTTCTCAAGGAAAGGGAGAAGGGCAAGGATGTGGATCTAACATCAAATATTGTCTTTACATAATTACAGTTTTGCACCTGTAATCCTTCCAAGTTACTCAGGAAGCGAAGCAAATGAAGAGGTATAACAAGTGATAAAAATTGGCACCCATCAACTATCAAAGTCTTCAACATTCTGAACCTCCATAAGGGACTTGCATTGCTCCATCCCATATCTCTTTTAACTCAGGGTATTCTCCAAGCTTCAAATGTTGCATGCAACTTATAAAATGCTGCACCATTTAAAAAAAAAATGATCCTTAAACTTTGAAAATATATATTATTACTGTCATTCTGTGCAACAAAAATATAAGATTACATCATTTTTGACAAAATCTATCAGCCAATCCTCACTTTCATGCCTTGTGGGATTCTGTTGTCAATTCGTTTCCCCACATTATCTTCTATCATAATATTCGATGAACAGATGAATGTAATTAGCAGGTGAAGTTTTCAATAAATTTTTATTGCATTTTGGTCAACGCTTTATTGGTTATCCTCTATTCACTTCTTAAAATATAGCAATCCTTTTCTGTGTTGCTTGACAACTTGACTGTATTTTCTTGTGTTATACTCAATGTGCAATGATGGCTACAATAAAAGAAAATGTTTTCCAATTAGAGTATGTACGTATATTCCATTAAGAAAAAAATAGAAATGAAATCGTGATGCATACTAACCCCAAAAATTTCACTTAACTAAATTGAATTTGCGAATGACTACTTACCTTCTCATGGAACAACTCGTGCACAGTGGTGTTGAGATCCATGTAGCTGTGTAGATCATATTTGTCTGGTGAAACTTGTATTCCTTCAAAGTTGGGAGCCCTAACGTCTCCTTGAGAGAAACATTTCATCCTTGGGCATTGTTGTATGCTTGCTATTCTCAAAAATGAGATTTGTAAAGTGATATTTCCTGAATAGAAACTCGCCAGTCTTGGTAAATTAAAGAGACCTAAGTATACAAGCTTTTCAAATATTATCTCATCTGAAATTGATTCATCAGTCTCATGGGTCACTATCTGTTCTATTGACATACACTCATGTACAATAAGCTTCTCAAGGTGCACCAAACTTTCTGCTACTAAGGATGTGAACAGAGAGCCTAGCCCATGACATCGTCTGATTGTCAATTCCTTCAAATTATAACATGGTACTGCAGAAGAATGCATTAGAACAGTCAAATGAGGACAGTCATTTACTTCCAAGGCTTCCAAATTCTTACCAACTGGATCCAACGAGGGGTTATCTAACCCAATGGAAGAGAGTAAAACCAATGAATGTAGGTATAATGCTCTTACTTGTGCAAGTGCACTAATGATATAATCAATATCTTCAGGTCTTTGAGTGGGGAACAACTCATTCAGTGCATTGAAATTTCTTATGGAGAGACTCTTCATATGAGGTACCTTCTGTAACAATCCAAAAGGCAAAGTAGCTCCTCCTTCAAAAGAATCACCGAAGTACAGCTCCAGATATTTTAATTTGAAAAATAGGTTATCAGGAAAATTTTCAAGAGAAAACATCGTCATGTCTCTCACAGTGAGTGTCAAATTTTCCAAATTCGGAATAACCTATTAGTAAAAACATATAAGAGACAACTTGATAAGAATAGGGATTACATTGATGTATAGTTCCATCTTTTACAATTGTAAATGGTAAAGAAAAGACAGGAATTATGATGGTAATTAATACCAAATTACCTTTCTGAATGAGAAAAGAGGTTGTCTTCTAATTGAAATGCTAGCTTCATCCTCATATCCAACTGCTCCCTGGTGACTTTGAAAATCTGATGCAAATGTATCCAACTTATTACAATCATGCACATGCAGCCTATTGATGTTGGGACAGTCCAGAGTGTATCTTCCAGGATAGAAGCACTCAAGGCGTGGCAAATTATACAAAATCAATGAGGCTAAATTATGGAATTCAAATTTTCTTCTAGCTTCATCTGCTTTTGCTTCTGCTTCTGCTTCTTCCCTTCCAAAAATTTCTTCCATTGCATTACATCGGCTGACTTCAAGTGTCTTGAGTTTTAAAAGACTTCCTGCCAGAGATGCTGGAAAAAGAGTTTTTATATCCACACAAGAAGTAACAATGATTTCTTGTAGATTTAGAAAACTAATAAATCTCCGAGGATCTTTGCTCCATACACACTTCAAATTTGGCAGGCCATGTAAATTCACTCTTTTCAACTTAAAGGACTGTCTATTAATTTCTGTCAACTTCTTGTCATCTATATCAAAAATAACCTTCACTGGACTAAAATGTACTTGCAACTCCTCCAAGTTCTTGAAGTAAGAAAGTAACCTAGAAGGAAATACTTCTGATAGAAAGAAACAGTTATTTGCTGTCAACGATTTTAGATTGTTGAAGTAGCTATCTGGTGGAGAAACTTTGCCTTGCCATAGTTCTTGTAATTCAGAATGACAAGAAAGTTCAAATTGTTTAGCGTGTTCAAAATGAACCTGTAAAATCAAATAGATTTAGTTGCCATAATTAGATGTATTTCAATAAATTAATAAGAAGCATATTTTTATATTACAAGAATAATCATCTTCTTAACTTTCATAACTGATTGCAAATATTTCTAGCTAGCAATATCACTCTAACTATGGAAATATCTTAAAAAAAAAAATGAAGTTACAAATCACTAAATGCGTGTGTCATGTGCGTGTATTAATTTATTCGTTTTTTGTAAAAATCTGATAGCAAAAAAATATATGCTATATATATATGTACATTCTAATAAATAATAAAGGTTCTCAAGCTGTTTGGCATTTTTTGTTCCTGACATTATTTATAAATATAAGTTTGGTGGGATAAAGGAAAGAATGTTTTTGTAGAACTCAGTTTCCTTAAAGCATCTCAATGCACTCCACTTCCTAAGATATTTCCCCTCTATATGAAGATTAACTAACCATGGCAAACATGCAACAGACATACTTGAATTCTATATTTATAACTATTTTTATGATCATTAGCAAAAATTTAAAACCTTTTTTCAAAAGGAATACATAAGCAAACCAACTTTCAAATACAATAAAATAGTACATACCTTATCAATAAAAATCTTTTGAATTGTGGCATTCAAATCACCTTCCCAGTACCAGATCTCTCTCCCTTCTCCTTCTACAATATTAACTTTCTCCAACTTTGGTGTGATTATAATTTTCTCGTAAAATTTATCCAACTTCCAGCAGCCAGTTACTATCAGCCTTTCAAGAGCTGGCAACCTGAAGACAAGTTTGTTCTTGGAATTATTGCAGAAACTTGTAAGATTTCTTAAATCTACAAGTTTTAAAATTTTCAATTTGCCAAAAACAATCTCATCTTCTTTGTCTTCTTCATTATCCCCCACTGTGACAATTTCCTCCATCATAGCACATTGAGCAACCTCGACAATGGTTAGCTGAACCAAGGATTTTGCAGTTGAAGATGACATTAAGTTTTTTAATTTAAAACAATATCTAACGTCAATATGTGACAAATGAGTGAATGATATGGAGGAAGGCAATAAGTTAATCAAGTGATGACATTTCTCTATGTATAGCCGCTCAACCCTTGGAAGAATAGGGTTATTTTCAAGGCCCATATTCTGTGGAAGATATGAAATTGATAATCTCAATTGCTTAAGTTGTACAACAGTTCCAATTTTCTGAACGGAGACATTTTTTTCATTTTCCATCATCTCTTTGATAGCAGAGTTCCACAAATATAGGATTTCTAGATTAGGAGTCCTGTAAAGAAACCAAAAGAGAATGTCGATACTGCTCAATCCATCAAGAATAAGTTGCTTTATATTGCGCATTTGATAAACATTATTGCCAATGGAGTCCTGCAACCACTTCATTTCCTTTGGGCCCACTGCCAAGACTTTCAAGTTGGATAGCACCTAAAAATCATGTAGGAAAAGAAAGTATAACTTTAGAGGAAGAATCATATATCCTATAACTTAAGGTGTAGTTATAAGAGACTTAGGTGGCATGCAAAAATCTCAAGTTCACGCACATGTAGTTTTGTAATACTTTTTAGAAATCTGTTTCAACTTTGAAATTTCATGCCATGATGTTAATCATGCAAGTTATTGTACCTTTACAAAAGCTGAGAGAATCGGTTTCACTTCTGAATAAGGTGTTAATACTTCCAGCTTGTAGCAACCACGCAGATACAAAGAAGTCAATGCTTGGAGCTCTACAGCATGTGTTTCTTGATAGAAACCCCTTAGTTCTGGTAGAAGTTGTAATGAAAGTGTGGTTAGCTTAGGAAACTTGAATACAAAGTTGCATCTGTTTGATGCATCTTCATCCTTGGTTACAATTTCCTTCATGCCCCTACAAGAAAGTATGGTAATGTGCTCCAAATTCAAAAGATCAATGGCAACAGAAAATGGAAAGAGATTTTCCAAGATTGGGCAAAAGAAGACAGAAAACTTCTGCAGATTTTTGAAGTTAAGAATTCCTTGAGGATCTCTACTCCACACATGCTTCAATTCTGGAAGTGCTTGCAAATGAAATCACGTAAGCTTGTTTCGTTCCCACCACTTATTTGTGGTGTAAGCTGAAGGTCAAATATCTCTTTCACTAACTTGCAATTTTGAACATCTAACCTGACAAGGTTATGAACTCTTCCTATCATGGAAGGAGGAAAAATAGAGACAAGTTTGTCGCAGCTTTTAATAATCACACTTTCTAAACTGCAAAAAGAATGAATGCAAGATTTGGCAGGCCATATGGTTGCCAATTCCTCCATATTGGTGATTTCAATTTTCTTCAATTGAGAGAAGACATCAGCTTCCTATGCATGAACCAAAGTAGTCCGAATGTAATCAACTTAGCAAAAGAAAAATAATGCCTAGTTTTTGCATCTAAACAAATAAAATCTCATGAAATGACATACCATCCTTGCTTCATTCATGCTAATGTCATCTGAAAGGAACATACTCTTCATCATATCACATCTTCTTACAGAAAGGCTTTGCAATTTCAACAAACTTCCAGCTATTGAGGTTGAAAATAAATACTTCAAACTACCACAGTCTTCCACATTCAATTTCATCAGATTTTGAAAGCAGGGGCTTGGCAAAGGTTGGTCACCCCATACCTTCTTGATGTTGATTGAAGACAACTCCAAGCTTTCTAGCTTGGGAAGTGAAACCTGCATGCTCACAAAAGTTCCAATCTCAAAAAGTGAAATGATTTTCACAAAATAAATCCTACAAGAGAGTAAGACTTCAAATGACAAGCCATCTTTCTTGATTTTGGAATAAATATGATATAAAATAAAGTTTAAAAACCGAATAGAAATATATTTATGGAGAATTCATAGCATATTCATACCTTTGCATTAAAGAGTAGAAGATCCAGACAAGCAGCGACAGCCTGCTCTCTTTTAGTGCTTTTTTCTTTAGGCTCTATATTTAACAATCGATTTTCCTCCATTTGAGAGATTGGAATCATTTTGTCATTTGTGTAGAAACCAGTCAACAATGGTAAAGATTGCAGTGTCAAAGAGCGTAATTGAGGAAGTTCAATGTTATCATCTTTTACATCATTGGTAGTATTCTCTTGTCTTTCCACAACAACAACATGTTCCAAAGAATCACATTTAGAAATTTCAATTGTTTCAAGCTTTGTAAGAAGCCTAACCATGTGAAACGAGAAGATATTTTTCAATCGGCCACAGAGTTTGATCTTGATAGTTTTTAAACTGTGAAAAGAGGCATCTACAAGCTGACAATTGCATATTTTCTCTATTCTCTCCAATTTATATAAACACATTGACTCCAACTTGGGAAAAGCCATTCATGATGTTTCCACTCATCTGCGTAGATTATATTTTGAATGTTCGAGTTTTTTATAATGCCTAAATGTTGAAGGCTTGGAAGTCCTTCCACATTCAACTCATAAATAACATTCTGAAGACCATCAATTTCTCCCAGAACCAATAATTCAACACTTCTAAACAACATTTTAATCCCAGTTTGGGAATGAATGTCATTTCCCCTTTTTAGATGTAGTATCAAAGCTCTTGATGCCTCAGGCATACGAAGCATCTGAAATATTCCAGTAAAAGCATCTTAACATCTCCAATGGCAATTCTGTAGCTATCTAACTTGTCAAAGAATAAGCTTCTCGGCAAAGCTAAAATATCTAGAATGCTTAAGTGCAGTCTTCTCAATTGTTGGAGATGACTCAATTCAATGAGAGAAGCAATTTCATTGTTGTTTGGTTTTTTTTCAACTTCCCATTGGATCAAATTGCCTCCCATATAGTAAAACTCCTCCAAACTATTCAATTTTGATATCACATTAGATGGAATGACTCTAAGTTTGGTGCACATATTGATGTCAAACAATTGAAGCTTACTCAACTTCCTTAATTCGCTTGGCAAAACTTCAAACTTGGATCCAGAAAGGATGAGGATTCTTAAATTTTCCAACTCTCCAATGATTGATATTTTGTCATCCAACACACATTGCTCTAAGCAAAGCATTCTAAGCTTTTTTAGGCATTTAAATGAAGAAGGAAAGTTTAACAGATCAATACCAGTCAATACCAATATTCTTAGTTCTCCCATTGCTTCAAAAAGTTTGTCTGGAATTTTCAAGAGAGGATCTTTACTATTAATATGGAAGACTTTGAGTCTAGGGCAATTTATACCTTCTGGAATCATATCAATGATATCACAATGGTGTAAAGAGATAGCTGCATACCTTTCAATTGCATCCGTGTCAGGCCATTCATCTAATTTGCCATATCTCATGGTGAAAAAATTCCACTCCTTAGATGCTATTGATAAGGCAGCATCACGGATCATATCATGCATGGTAACATGGTGAAAAGAACTAGCATTCAGCAACAAACTTGAGTCTTTCAACTTGTTGATCAATGTAGTTGTTCTATCTCGAGCTTCTTTTATTGTATTGACTCCATGATAGATGCCCAAACCGATAGAATATTTCACCAAATCCATGATTGATGGAGCCTCACCTATATAAGCACAAAGTAAGAAAATAGACCTGAGCTCCTCACTTTTCAGCTGGTCATAGCTTAACTTTGTAGAAATCTCCACAGGTTCTAGAAGTCCAACCATTTCTTGCCTTTCCATTTTCTGAAGTGCATCTTCCCAAACATATTTGTTTTTATTATTTTTTAGCGCCATTCCAGCTGTGACTAACGCCATTGGCAATTCGCACATTTCTTAGCAACCTTAGCTGCTAATGATTTCAACTCATCAGAATCTTCATCGGTTATCATTGCTACTTTGTTGAATAATTTTTCTGCATCCTTTTCCTCCAAGACTTCTATTGAGAAAACTGAGTTTTCCTTTACATCCATTTCACTCAATAATACTCCTTTAATTCGAGAAGTTAGCAAAATCTTGCAACTTCTAAAACCACTGGGGCTTTCTTCTATTTTAACCACGTTGTGACCAAAATCAGGTATCTCTTTAACAGTCTTCTGGTTGATATCAGCATCATTATCATCATCATATGGAATCCCCAACATTTTTAAGTCAAGTCTCGCCCAAAGATCATCAAGGACCAGCAGAATTCTCTTGCTCTCCTTCGTCAGCCTTTGTCGCAAACGATCTGCTCTTCCAATATCGCTTTGGTCATCTAATCTCAAGTCCAAGATGTCCGCTATTTCTTGTTGAATCTTCCTCACATCAGGAGTGCTCGTTATACTTGCCATAACCACAACATCAAACAACTTTTCTCCCATCGCTTTCCTAGCAACTGCCTTAACTAAAGTGGTTTTACCAACACCACCCTGCCCATAGATACCGATCATTTTGTTTGTAGGATCTCTCAGAGCATTCATAACCTCCTTAAAAATGGCATCTCTAGAGCTAAGTGATTGATAACCACTGTCAGAAAGAGCAGCATCTGTTATAGTTGGCTCTGGGCGATAAGAAATTACAGTGAAATTCACCTGTTGCAGCAGATCAGCACACTGTGGGTTCATCTTCTTCGCTTTTCTGCCAAGCTTATGCCTTAACCTCAGGTTAGGAAACGAACTGTTGCAGCACCCTGTCTTCAAGTGGCCTTCGTCTCCCAAAAACATTTCTATTTCAGCGATCTTCTCATCCATCCTCGTCAGCCAATTGGTGACACGGTCGTCAATCTCTTCTCCATTTCTTTCAGCTTCTCGAACTCGAATAATCATACTCTGCCTTTCATCTTTCAGCCTCTGAGCACATCCTCTTAGCTCCTCAACATTGCCATTGTAGTTCCAAACGTAACTCAGTTGCCGCTTAACAGGATCCACCAAAAGATCCAATGCTTTGCTGAAAATGGTAGCTAAAACCTCCATTCCTTTTTTTTTTTTTTTTTTGGATTTACTTCTTATATACTGCTACAGCTTTTTTGCTTATAATATACGAGAAGTAAACGGTGAACGAAAGACTGATCACTAAGAAAATTCAGCAAACGAAAACAGAAGAACGAAAAGAAAACGAAACTTGCAAATGGTGAAGGAATGAGGGGAAGTCGCTGACAAAGCAGAGCAAGTCAGACAAGTTCAGTGAAGAAGGCAAAATCACTGCAACGTTTCAGAAAATTTGAGGATGGGAGCTAAAGACAAGTACAATTATTTTTTAAAAAATTTTATTAAAAACTTAACTATTATTAATTCAAATTTTTAAAATCTGACAGTCATTTTCCAATGTAAATAATTATTATATACAGCTGTTTGTCGGTTTGTTTCTGTTGGGTTCTACTTTTCAATATAAAATTGGCGGGATTAAATATTTCTCCATTGTGAATTATATTGCAGATCACTCTCATGACATTTTACGTTATTAAAAGTTTCATTTAAAATAAATGAGCACAAAAATAAATCATCAAGATCGGTAACTTTGATCTTATTCTTTATTTTATCTTAGAACCCACATCACAGGTGACATACGTGTAAATAATAAGCTAAACCATATTAGTCAGTAAATTAAATTATTTGCAAACATGCCTTAGGATTATCATTCATGTATTTGTGCAAAAGAACGAGTAAAGGTGTTAAATCTAGGGATAAAATTATCTTATCTCTTTTCTCTACATTCAAAAATTGAACCTATCATTAAATTATTTGAGAAAATAATTCAACTTCATAATCAATTCAATCATAATTAAAATAATTTAATTTAATTAAAATATATAAAAAATATGTATATCATATATAATTCTGAAAAGAGTAATAGTTAAATATAAAAAAAGGTAGTAATCTACAAATAAGTAGGACATTTATATATGAATTACACCCAATCCAATAAAAGAGTTATTATAGCACAAATATGATGAATTATCACTACAAAATTTTTGTTACCTGGAACAGTTTGAAAGTGTTGTTATAACTTAAAAAATGTTGCCTAAATATATAGGTAACAGATTTCAAATGATCCTAACTTGATTTTTACATATTGGTCTAGGTAACAATTTTCTTATTTTTGGTTACAACTTTTATAAAATTGTTGCTTAAAACTATAAAAGTAAGTCACAATACTTAAGTGTCCCATTGTAACACTTTTCAAATATTATTTATCATATAAAATAAATAAAATTTAATATTTTATTCCTCCACCTAGATTCAAACATTGAACCAGTAATAGATGACTCCAACTTTTCTTTTAACTTAACTTTTTGATATTGTAATACAAAATATAATGTATATATGCAGTTGTTAAATCAATTTTTTAATTTATCCAAATGATGAATTAAAAAATTAAGAGAATAAATAAATAAAATTATATAAAAAATATAAAAATAAATTACAAATAAATTTATATGTGTGGACAAACAACAATCAACAGTTCTTAAATGTTGTCAAAAAGAAAAATTATAGGGAACATCTATATTTTTGTTGCCTATTAAAATATGGACCATTTTTAAAATATTATCTTAAAAGATCTCTTATAGGTAATAATTTTTATATTGTCCATTTAAAAAATTTATTGCAAAACTTAAAAACTGTTACCTATCCTACTTTAGATAATAGTCTTCAAACATTGTCAAAACTATGTTGCTTAAAGTAGGAAAACAATAACAACATATAAAAACTGTTGCCAGTACCCACATTAAGCAACATTTTTAGAATTATTACAAATAAAATTGTTTATATTTGTAAGAGAGAAAAATTATATCACACAGTTTAAAAAAATTAATTAAATATATTAACTGTGTTTGAGAATAAAAAATAGGCTAAAATACCCTTTATTGGTTATGTTAATCAAGCATTAATTAATTATTTTTTATGACGATAAATGATGAAACTATGAGGGGTAATTTAAAAAATTTGTAACATATCCTTATTGAAAAATATGGTTTTGCTTATATTTAAAAATTAATAATAAATTTTTTTTATGAATAAAAAATGAAGGGAGTATGCAATAACATATACAAGCTGAAAGGAAGTGATTCAAAAGGCAATAAACTTCACTCATTGAATTTTATTATCAACTTCAACGCATTTCTAATTTTCTATGACCATTTCTGTGATGTTTTCTAAGCAGCCAGCATCCGCACTACACAACCAAGTCATATTTTAAGCAAATAACCACTGTACAGGACAAAGTGACTGATTAATAAACCTCGAAACCAATATATATTATTTGCTCCCATTTCATTTATAAAATATATTTTAGAAAATTTATTTAATCTCATTTATAAATTATGGGATGACTTTTTAGGTAATATTTAAAAATTATTTTTAAAACTATTATTTATGAAAGGAAAAAAATTAACATAACATTGCTTTTTAAATTTATTATGTGAGGGGCATGTTTAAAATTTTACACATTTTATTTCTTTTATTATTATTGTATTAAATTGATGAAATTAATAAAAATGAAGAAAACAAAAAAGTACATGATAATACTTTACCCCCTTTTTATTTTTATTTATAGAAAAAAACTATTATTTTTAATTTATTTTTTAATATAAACAAAATTATATTTTTTAATAAATATTTATTATAAATTTTATAAATTATTTTTCATAATTTCATTACTTACCGTCATAAAAAATAATTAATAAAAAATTAATTAATATAATTAATAAAGAATATTTTAATTTATTTTTAGATATAATTAATATAATTAATTATTTTTAAATTATGTAATATAATTTTTTTATAAATAAAAATTGAGGAAGTACTTATAAAACAGAGAAAATGAAAAAGCAGAAAATCCTCATCATAATAGAGTCGGGTCCGTATTTGGTGCATCTATAGCTTTAATTTCTTTTATTTTATTTTTATTTAAAAAATTATAAAATTTTAATAAATTTATGTTATTAATTTAAACAATATAAATTTAATTTATTGATTTAATTCAATTATAATTTAATTATCTAAATATTTTTGAAAAAATTGAATTTTAAATACATCTTGACAATCAATTTATAAAAATTTAAAAAAAATTATTATTAAATTAAATAATTCAGATTAAATATGTATTACCAAGATTAGTAATAAGATAAATTTATTAAATTTTTATATTTTTTATTTTAATAAATAATCTTGAAGTAACAAATGAAGGGGACAGAACAATATCTATAATAAGAATAAATCGAAGAGATGTGTTAACTGTAAAATTTTGGGTAATAAAAGATAATAATAATCAATGTAAAATAATCCTAGGAATAGATTTTTAGAACAAGTAAAACCATGAAAATACAACAAGATAGGATTATGATAAATATTAATCATCAAATAATAGTTATTGAAAAAATAAAATTGATATGACAAAATTATACTACATATTGGTAAAATTTAATTATCAAAATATAGATCTAGAAAATATCATGCTTTAGTTGATACAGGAGCAAATATTTCAGTAGCAAAAGCAAATGTATTATCAGATGAATTATGGAAAAAGAAAATAAAATATTAAGAATGGAAGAAGTAGGACAAGAAATTAATTGTATTGAATTAGAAGCAAGAGAAATTATGATACAAATAGGAGAATATGAATTAAAAATAAAGAAATTAAATCGATATAATGATAATTATTGTGATGTAATATTAGGAATAGATTTTATTGAACAATATTATCCTTTACATATGTTTGAAAAAGCAATAATATTAACAACACCTTGTAAACATCAAGCATAGGGAGTAAGAGTAACTAAACCTTACAGTAGAAGAGATAAAAAATTTCAAAAGAAAACAGAAGATTATGAAGTACAATTTCTACCAAATAAAAAACCTTTGTATAATAATGAAGTTATAAATTCAATAAAAATGTTAAATACTGCAAGAGAGATTAAAACAATTGAGCAGAGATTATTAGAAAATTATAGTGATAATCCTTTAATTCATTGGAAAAAATCTAAACTTTTAGCAAAAATAGAATTAAAAGATTATAGTAAAGAAATAAACTGTAAACCTTATCCATGGACAGAAAATGATAAAAAGGAATTCATAATGCATATAAATGAAATGAAACAATATGATTTAATAAGAGAAAGTAGATCTGAATATTTATCACCTGCAATGATTGTAGTAAAACATAGTGAAGAAAAAAGAAAAAATCGAGATTATTATAAACTATAAAAAATTAAATAAATTAGCAATAAGAAATAGATATCCAATTTCAAAAATAGATTTATTATTTAATTTAATAAGAGGAAAAAATATTTTCAGCAAATTTGATTGTAAATCTGGATTTTTTCAAATAAAATTAGAAGAAGAGAGTAAGAAATATACTGCTTTTAGTACATCTGAAGGATTGTATGAATAGAATGTATTACCTATGGAATTTCATAATAGTCCTAGTATATTTCAGGAATATGTAACAAAATTATTATTGCCAATAAAAGATTTTATTGTCATATATGTAGATGATATTCTAATATTCTCAAAAGATAAAGAAGAACATGAAAAACATTTAGAAAAATTTATAGATCTGATAGAAGAAAAAGGATTAAATATATCACCTAAAAAAGCTGAATTAAAAAAAGAAAGAATAGGATTTTTAGGACAATACATAACTGATAATGGAATAGAATTACAAGAACATATTAGTAAGAAAATATTAGAATTTGAAGAAATTAAAAATAAAAAAGAACTTCAATCATTTTTAGGACTAGTAAATCAAGCTAGAAATTATATTCCAAACTTATCAAAACTAACTGTAAAAATAAGTAAATTAGCTGAAGAAAAGACAATATAGATATGGGATAAAGAAAAAAAATAGTAAATCAGATAAAAACTTTATGTCAAAATCTACCTAAATTAACTATTCTAGTAAATAATGATGTAATATAGATAATATATACAGATACTAGTGAAAATTATTGGGGAGCAGCTTTATATCACGTCAATGAAAAAGAAGAAGAGAAAATAACTAGATATGCTAGTGAAAAATTTAATGATTCCCAGACTAAATATCATTCTAATTGGAAAGAATTTTTAGCAATAGTAAAAGCTGTACAAAAGTTTGAATTATTTATTATTAACACTAAATTTATTATAAGAACTGATAATACTCAAGTAAAGCATTGGCTAAATAAAGGAATAAAGACAACTCAATTATGTAATAAAATG